AATCTGATTAGATTGATTAGAGCAGTGGTTCCCTGAGAAGGGAATGAGACACTGCGTCCTCTAGGGGTCGCTATGGGGAACGCCTTCAGTGTGACTGGTGTCTGCAGCATACATCTAAACACAACAATGCTATTGGCCGGCGACAGCCTATGACGTGAGAACACGTCATCCACTTCTTTGTCTGAAGCTTACGTCCGAAGCATGGCGAGGAGACTAGAGGACGCAGTGTCTCGTTCCCTCCTCAGGGAACCAGGGTTACATACGTAACCTGAGACGTTCCCTACCGAGGGAACTTCGAACTGCGTCCTCTAGGGGTCGCTATGGGGAACGGTATACCCACACTGCCATGCTGAGGGGAGTGCATGCCAATACTAAGGTGAGCACTAAGTACCAACTCAATCAAGTCAGAGGAGCTGCCCCTAGGACGTTTTTGACGGCTGTTAGCGATATGACCCCCTACGGCCAAAGGCCCGAGCTGTGCACCAAAAAACTCACCTGTAAGGGCTGGCTTATAAAAAGCCAGAGCCCAGGGCAAAGCTCAAGGCTTGGAATCATAAAAAAGGATTCCTTTAAGGCAGTGGTCACCAACCTTTTTAGGCCCAAGATCCCTGACCTCGGCCTTTATGAAAGACAAGATCTACCTATTGAAGAATTGATAGAAAAAGACATCCCAGATTGTACTTCAAATTTTAGGCCTTTTACTTAGTATTTTAATTAGTGATGCGCCGATCATAGCTGATTCAGAATTCAGATTTTCTTTTCTTTTTTAACTAGCAAATTGGATTCTGATACTTTGCTACATAAAACATCTGCACGAAACAAAAACAGCAGGTCTGAATGAGACGCACTCTCTGACAGCAGGTGGCGCCTATGAACAGGCTTTTTTTTCGGGATCTACTGGGACAGTGATAAAGATCTACCAGTCAATCGCGATCGACGGGTTGGCGACCACTGCTTTAAGGGGATACAGCCAAGAACCAGGGCTGGCATAGCCCATATCCTGGCCTGTAACACAGGGACTACCTCCCGCTCTGAGAATCATAAGATACCCAGGGGACTTAGTAGCAACTACAAAGTGTGTACACGGAGAGTGGGCCCAAGGTAAAACCGGAGACAGAGCCAACTCAGAGAAAGGGGACGAGGTCAGCATCGCGCCACCCTTACCCAAAAAGGGCTTTAAAAAAGGTGCACAAAGGCTAGCGTGCACACCTGCCATGAATATGGACTAGAAAAAGTGCACAAAGAACTAGCGTGAGCACTTACCATAGATATGGATTTAGAAATACCGTTATTAAAAGCCACAGCAACCACGGCGAGCCGGGATCTAACTGCTCAGAAGTAACAGGGCTCTCCGCCTAGCGCTACCAAGCTCAACCTAATAGGGAGGCAGAAATGGCCTAACAACCTATAAGGCTAAACACAGAGCAGCACAGACACTTAGGAGGGAGCGGAGTGCTCAAAGAAACCCCTGGGGAAAAAGGGGGAGCACTACCAAGCTCAACCATACAGGTATCAACAGAGATAAAACAGAAGAGTGAAGCCCAGGTAAGGATCCGCGGCCTAAATAAACTCAGAGAAAGGGGACGAAGTAGATCACGTCACCCTTACCATAAAGGATTTTAGAAAGGTGCTCAAAGGCCCAGCGTGCACACCTACCATGATTATGGAATTTCAAGAAGTGCACAGAGAGCTAGCGTGTGCACTTATCTATAAAAGGAATCAGACCAGGCTCCAAAGTCGGAGAACTCACCAACCGATGTGGAAGCTCTGTTACTTATGGTAAAAACCCCCAGGAGCAAGATTCTCGACTCTCCGCAGAGAGAAGAAACAGACGTCCCATTCAGATTGTAATGACCCACCTGCAGAGAGGGGAGCACCATGCTCAGAACGCAGATAGAACTCCAATAGGGGGAGCTGCAGACTCCCACCATAGAAATAATTGACCAAGGAAGTCACAAAAAGGCTTTACTACTTGGTGTGATCATATGAGTAATTATGGGATTTCTCAGGCAGAGGCAAGCCCTTAGGCTCAACCAAAAATCCCCAGCTCAGGTCTAAAGAGGCCCCTCAAGGCGAGACCGAGCAACCCAGGGAGCACAACGGGGGACAGTGCCTCCAAAATAAGTTCAACCTGGGAGAGAAAAACCTCAAAGGCCCGCAGGTCCTGAGGTTGCAGTGTTTATACTGAGGACATGATTGACCAAGGAGGCCTCTCGAGGAAGCCTAACGACTCGGAGTCGGAGTCCAGCCAGCACGGGGTTTACAAGCCGTCAGGATCCTGCCAGTCAGCGTAAGTGATGCATCCTCAGCGAGGCTCACTGGAAGAGAAAAGGAAATGCTTCCATCATGGCTCAAGCGCCTGTCTCTCCCGGACCTTCAGTAGGTAGTTCTATGAGACATAGAAGCTAACCGGAACATCATTGGTCCAGCCGGAGACTGTAATGCCGGTTGCATGGAGGTTCTTAGTCTGATTAGGGCAGGAAAGGGTTAACAGGGGAATTGGGAGAGGAAGACGAGGGTAGATGTAAATACTCTAAGAGGGAGGTCCGTCCTGGTCCACCTCTCTCAGGTCTTGCCTCTGACCCTTCGTGTCGCGACACTAGCCTTCTGAACCTGTCTCTGGTCCTTAGACCAAGATGGGCCAGGACCCCTTTGTTTGGGCTGAGAACTGGGCCTTCGTGGAATGAAGGACTTAAAAGCAGCTGAGCGCGCCCTCGCCTCCTTAAACTTCTCGACTACGGTCTCGATGGAAGTGCCGAAAAGTTCAGAAGGAGAGACCGGCGCATCAAGGAGAAAGCCCCTCTCTTTCGTCCCGATGTCAGCCAGGTTCAGCCACAGATGTCTCTCCGTTACCACCATAGCCGCCATAGATCTGCCCATGGCAGTGGCGGTCTGTTTGGTGGCACGGAGAGCGAGATCCGTAGTGCGGCGCAGCTCAGACACTTCTTCAAGGGAAAGACCCTGACCTTTATCCAGGTCTTTCAGCAGGTCAGCCTGGTAGGCTTGCAAAATTGCCATGGTATGCAATGAAGCCGCAGCCTGACCTGCTGCTGCATAAGCCTTGCCATTCAGACGAGATGTAATTTGAAGGGCTCTGGATGGCAAAGAAGGGAGCCCTAAGAGAGGATGTCTCTCCCATAGCGAGATAGCAGGCTAGCGTCTCTTCAATGGGAGGCACCCTCTCATATCAGCTCTTGCACATCCCCTCAACGTTGGCATAACTAGTCTGCTGAAACCTGTGGATGCGCGAAGAGAACGGATTTTTCCAAGTCTTCTCGATCTCCACATGAAGATCAGGAAGAAATGGAAGGCTCACCTGGGCTGAAGGGTTATGGTCAGAAAGATAGCGCTCATCGAGCTGACCACGAGGCGCCACCTTCCTAGTTCCATAACCTCAAGCAGCTCCTCATACGCAGGGCAGGAGGTTTGAGAGGACTCAGTCTCAACTTCCTCGATTATATCTGACATCTCCTGCTCTTCCTGGCCGGGAGCCAGCAGAGCACTAGCTGCTGGATCAGATGACGTCAGAGAAATAACGTAATCTCCAGCAGCTCACTCTCATCCACGACCGACGAACGAGAAAGGGAAAGCCCCTTCTTTAATTCATCGACCAGGTCCACCTGAGAACCCCATGAGCTCAGTTTCCTCCGTACTTCAGCAGCGGCGGGTCCTGAGCCCTGAGGAACTGATGGCTGACCCTCTTTCCTCGAAAAAAGGGCCAAACGAGAGCGGAGCTTCCTCATGGGAAAAAGCTCACAATGAACGCATGCTGCCCCCTCAAGGACGTCACGCGCGTGCTCTTCGCCCAAACGTATGACGCAAAGATCGTGTGTGTCATCGGGTGTCAAATAACGCGGACACGGATCCACACACCTCCTAAACGCCTTGCTAGTGCTAGTGCTCGCCATATTAGTAACAAACAGAACAGCGTTCTTACCAGTATGCACTTCAAACAAACAGTCTCTGAAGACGAAGAAGAGGATGACGTGTTCTCCTGGCGCCCTTTTATACTGTTGTCGCACCGGTAATGACGTCATAGGCTGTCGCCCGCCAATAGCATTGTTGTGTTTAGATGTATGCTTCAGACACCGGTCACGCTGAAGGCGTTCCCCATAGCGACCCCTAGAGGACGCAGTTCGAAGTTCCCTCGGAAGGGAACTATAAAATACTATTAACAGAAATTAGGAGCATTAATACAGGTGAATAAATTTACCACAATTTATTTTGTGATACTAGAAGTCTGAAGAGCTGTATGTTCTTCAATTAAAACAACAAATATTGAGGGGAAAAATATGATTTTAGTTTTTATCTTGATTTCTGTTTTTTTTTTTTTTTTTGCATTTTAATTATCTTAGAATGTTTTAAAATATTATTAATAATATAAATATTAATTAGATTAATGATATATACATTTTTATATAATTAAAGTCATCCTGCCCCAAAAATATACTATATTAGTCAATAATAATAATATAATATAGTATTTTCTTCAAATCAAGGCAGTCACAGTCCTAACAGTTCAAACTGACAAATAAATTATATCTTTTTAATGAACAACTGAAAAGACTTATGAATCAGTCTAATGAGCCTGTTAATAATTAACATCTGATTCACTCACTGAGCCACAAGGCATTACCTTTGGTCATATTCTGGACTCAAAAATAACCAATAACTAGTACTTTATAATGGTGGTCCTCATGATAAAGTGTTTACCATATACATTTACATAAGAGTGAATGTAAAAAGGCCTAAAAAGAGGCCAAAAAAGCTAAAAACCACCGTAAATGCTAAAAACCACATACAGATGATACTTTTCACACAGGAACTAAGCATTTTGCTCACACAAACCTATATACCCGGCACTGCCTGCAGTTTTCTTCTGAGCAACAGACCTCTCATTTACCTCTTTTCATGAAACGCATAGATAAGAGGACACAGACTGTCAGGTTTTGTGGGAGATGGAGAGGAGAGAGGGGGTCTGCGGTGCAGACAGTACTCACCGGGCTCGAAGGGCGCTAATGGTAGACTTGTCAACCCTGCATTTGAAGAGAAAAGACAAGAAAGCATTTAGGATCAAGGAACAAACATAGATGGCTGTAATTTGCTCGGTTTGACCCGTAAACTGAACTGGCAGAATGAAAGGAACAAAAGGGGTTAAAAAAGGACATTTCTGTAATGTATCATCCCTGTATGATTTTGTTGTCGACATGGCTAGGTGAGCTTAATGCCCAATTAATGTTGACATGCAGAAAAGGTCACCCACCAGCACGGACTACCCACAATATCGCATCAAAACATAACAAGGTTGAGTCAGGCTGTGTGAAAGGGTGTGGCCGTTTATTTTTATCCAGCTTGTTTTTGATATTTCACACATTTATGTGTCACACACAGTTTCCTTTTATCAGCAGAGTGAAGGTATAGTGTTAAATTAGGACTTTTAATCTTTAAAGCATTTTTCGATTCACATGGACATCTCAGTTTTTGCATGATATGTACTGTCATATGATGTTTTTGTTGTAGTTAAAACAAGTTAATTTTTTTTATATAAACAAAAAAAAAATCACGTTAATTATTTTTAACACAAGTGATGCACTTACAATGACCAATCTGTAAACTTTAAAATACTCACTTATTTTAACAGTAAAACAAGGCATAAACAATATGTGTTAACATGATTTTAGTGTGAAGAAATTGTTTACTAATTTTTTCTGTTAAGTTCTATCCAATTTTACAATTTCATTGCCATGACAACTTACAATTTTACAGCGCAATGCACACGTTTTAACAGAAGAATTAAGTGATTGAAGAATTGAGTGATTTATAACTTTACATTTCTGCTTTAAATGCTACAAAAATGTTGAAATTATTGTATTTTGAATAGTCTACCTTTATGAAGCACTTTATATACATAATTCATAGAAAGAAAAATGAAAATAACGCTTAAAAAGAAAACATAAAATAGTAATAAAAAATAATAAATTAATAATAATAATTAAATGATATTGTTTAATTATATTATTATTTTTCAAGTGTTGTCCCCAAAGTCACTGCACATTACTTATCATTCACTTGATTAACAATATTTTAGTGTGTTGAACCTGGAATATTCCTTTAATAGATGCTATTTTTAACATTTCTAACCATGAGAGCGGTTATGTGCAGCAGTCCGTGAGGGTACTGCTGTCAACTCCCATTACTGTAAGTAACTGAGGTTATTGTGTCTCATTTTCTTTATTATACTAGACCGATTCCCTAAAACACACAACAACAGGGAATGGAACATCCTATTCAGTGAGATGATTTAGTGAGACAGTTTGTTTGAAGATGCCACTTGGTTTGATATTTTGCAAAGAAACTCATTATAAGGGAGAACTTAAGTGTCCAAAAAATATTAGCAGGAGACTGTGAAACCCAATGGACCTACATAATGCAATGCCCGCGCAGCACCTATGAAGTTCAAATGTACATGCAATATGGGGGGAAAAAAATAGATTTCCAGCTGCTGCACATGCCTTTGAGCAACACACTCAGATGTGGGTTATAAATGGATGTCAAAGTGAAACGTAAAGTGTATTACAGATGGAAAACACAGTTGCATGAGCATGGTGTCTTTTCTGGTGCTGTGCAGCAGAGCAGACAATCCATCATCTCACTGTCCACCACAGTGAGGGAGCTTTCAGAGCTTAACGATGTAAAAATCAGATTAAATGTGGTTTAAGTGTACCTCACACGCAGGTTACTCTGTATGAAATCAGCATCTCTTATGATTTGTGTGTGTGTGTGTGTGACCATCTGTTTGTGCAAGGTGACTGTTGAGGTGTCACTATTAAAAGCATGGTGTGATAGTGACTGGGTGTGGTGGGGATGTGGGTAATTCTGAGAGAGGAAGGGTGTGGATGTGTGTGTGTGTACATGATACAGAATTTCCCACAGCAAAAAGCTGACACAGGCTCCTATATGCAGTTCTCATATGTTTGCAACATTTAGTACAGAATTATTGCAGCAAATGAAATAAACCCTATGCTTTTACAAATAATACATAGGGGGCGACACAGTGGTAATACTAGCTATGCATCCATCCACCTATTTTTATGCACATTTTGGGATATGCTGGAAACACCAAGATGTGCATACATTCTAAAAATACTCATAAAAATCATATGCACTCAACTGAGTCTGATGTGTTTATCTGATAAGAAGACATGCTCATGAATCATGATGGAAACACATTTGCCGAATAAATTCCTTTATTCGCAACAACAACAAAAAAAAAACTCACATGACTTTGCCTCAACAGATCATGTGACTGAATAAATGGACTAACCAGCAGATCGATGTTATTTCAATCAATCTGAAATACCTGAGCCAAAGTTTATCATCAAAATGACTTGGTACTAGAAACATCTCCCCGAACTGTCTCACACTATTGCGTTATTAAGCATCAGGCATCTTGACACAAAATAACATGACGGCATTTATTGCTTTTCATCTGCGCTCTGAGGTGCAAGCCAAGTAATTTATAATATAAACAAAGACCCAAAGTGGCTTCTCTTATTGCAGCAACTTTTATTTTTCTTAGTAATATTTAGTCCCAGTTTATCAGGAAGTTATGTTTTTGTTCTCTTCAACTCACTGGATAGAAATGGTGCTTTATTCGCAAATGTTTTATGTGATATGCCACTTTTTTTAATTGACAACTTTGGATGAAAACACCTACTGTACTGTTGCCTCACAGCAAATTTTATGTTTATCTGCTCACCCCCAGGGCATCCAAGACGTACGTGACTTTGTTTCTTCAGTAGAACACAAACGAAGATTTTTAACTCAAACCGTTGCAGTCTGTCAGTCATATAAAGGCAGTGAATGGGAATCACGGCTTTGAGAGTCAAAAAAACATACACAAACAAAACCAAATTAAACCCTGCGGCTCGTGACGATACATTGATGTGTAAAGACACGAAACGATCGGTCTGTGCAAGAAACTGAACATTATTTATATCGGGTTTTTTACCTCTGATTCACCGCAATGTCCGTTTTCTTGCACAGTCCGATCGTTTCGTGTTATTACACATCAATGTATCGTCACGAGCCACAGGGTTTAATTTGGTTTGCCTGTTTCACACATACTCCGTCTGCAGAGCGTATGTGTTGCATTTTTTTTACGCCCACATGTTAACGGATCGTTCACTGCACGCGGTTGCGGTCCGTCAGTGCGTTCCAGGAGCGGCGCGTCTGCTCTGCAGCAATCGTTTACGCACCGAGTCTATTTTTGTTGTGCTGCACACGCTGAATTAAAGCGACAGCGCATTGTTCGCGGTAAAAATGAACATGGATTGACACAGAAATGTAGTAATTTCACAATAAATTGATATAATTAAAGTCTACTGTGTTTCACAGTAAACACGTGGCTTTTTGGCTAGATTTAAAACAAGGAAAAGTGCACTTTTAGATAAACAAGGCAACATAATAGATGCACTTGTGGTGGTAGAAAAACAAAGTTCTTTAAGACCCGCGGGATTGCTTGTAATAAAGATTTAAATGCAAAAGAAAAGGCACGAGGGTCGACTGTTTCTGTCAGTAGTGAGTTTTAATTTAAAATGTTTGTGATAGCTTTAACGTAAGAAAAGTAACACATGTTTAAATGTGTTGCCACTTGCTTGAGCAACTTATTATACAAACCTAGAAGTCAAATGCATGAATAATACGTTGTTTATATTTATTGCTTTTAAACTAACGTCTATGAAAGATTGTTACTGTACTGTGATAAAAGAGTATCACAATGCTGAAAAAGCTTTATTTTTTACATGATTTGAAATCTAAATAATGGATAAATGTTTTTGTGGCCTAAACAGCCGCGGACTGCAAATGCGTCCTGTGTGAAAGCACAATGAGTCCGTGCTGCTTCTGCACGCATACGCACAGCAGACGGAGTATGTGTGAAACAAGCCTTAACTTAACCATCAGCCAAGGCTCAATAACCCCAATCCTCAGTCTAATGTTAAACCGAACACATAAGGCACATCCTAATTCTATGCCAAAACCTAACCATCAACCTAATGGTAAGCTTAAATATAAGAGTAGACTCCCAGGCTAACGCTAAGGATTAACAAACCTAACCCCTAGCCTAATGCTAACTAATTAACACCAAATACAAAACCTAAATCTAACCTTCAGCCTAATTTTAAGCATAATACTGTCTGTGTAATGTTACCTTCAGCCTAACACAAAGTCTAAACCTAACTATTGGGTCAACTTTAAGGCTAAATAAACCCAATCCTCAACCAAATGCTAAGCCTAAACCTAACCATCAACCTAAAGTAAAGCCTAAACCAAAATGTAAGTGTAAACCCACGCCCAAAATCTAAGAACTCCAGCACTCTTGTGCAATTCCCAGGCAAATTCTGAATGTTGTCACACTCTTGTGAACACATCAAACATCAAAAATGGCCAAATAGCTTTAAAAACTGTTAAAAATAGCCTTGAAAGGAAATGTTTGTTGTCAGGTAGAGATGATGTAGAGGAGGAGCAAGAGAGAAAGTAGAAGAGTGCTGAAAGCTGTAAAAGCCTCAGTGGAGAGCTGAAACTGTAGCATCATAAATAAAGCATTCACTCGCTCTGACCCTTCATAACCGTCGCCTTCATATTCACCGTTTCCCCGTGTGGTGATGACACACACACACCATCGAAATAAGATGCATAACAGCATGTAATGATAAACATACACCTACAAAACACAATCACAACCCCACACTTACCCAACATGTGTGAGATCAAGGTTTCAATAGGGAAGCGAGAAAGGAAATGTGAAATGCTCTCAAGTAGGACAGTGGTGCGAAATCATGCTAATGTGCACTGTAATGCATCTACGATTACTTTTAAATGATTTAACATTACAGAAATTATTCAGCATCTCAGTCAGAGCATCATACAGAAACTTAGCTGGTATCTGTATTGTATGTTTTTGTCCAAACAATGTATGTCAATGGGGTCCAAGTTTTGGACCCCATTGCCTTTCATTACATGGACAAAAACAGAGACAACTAAACACACTACATGAGCAACACTTTCAATTCAAGTCATTAATAATCATTCGTTTATTAATATTAGTATGTCTACAAGAGATTGACACATTGGTGACATTCAGTGCGGTCAATAAATGATTCTCTGGAAGTTGTGAATGCATATGAAAAAAGAAAGAGCGAGAAAGTGAAAAGCTGATTCAAATTTTGCATTTATTATATGCATTTGACAGACAAAGCTGTGATAAACAGTCTTGAAATAAACAAAAAGAGCTTGTAAACAGTCCTAGCAATATCTTCTTTTTCATACAGAAAATATATTTGCTACTCACTTAATAAATGTCCCCATCATATTCCACTGTGGCATAATCTAAGCAATTGTCTTGGTTTATACATGGATTTCAGACTAATAGGTCTCTGTAGCAACTTTTGCAAAGTCCTGGTCCATATGAGTGAGCAAAGAAAAAACAACACTTGAACCTGAACAATGGGCAGATCCAGATGACTAGATACCCTCTGATTCATTTGCATACATGCTACTATTACTATCAACTGTTACGACACTCCTAACATCTTCTCCTTTAGATGTCACACAGAACTATTATTGTGATATTCCTCACTGTAAATCATTCAGCTTATAAATCAATGCAAAGCCATCATTGGAGAGAGCAAATGAATGCAGATTAAAAACAGCACATGCAAGCATGCCGACAACCATAAATAAACACCAGCAAGCACATCACAGGGCATCTGGCAGACATTTCCACATAGCCGACAGCTGATGCTGTTCCACATGAGCAACGTACCATCCAAATCCACCAAAGGATACGCTCCTCTTCCTCCTCAGCATGGTCCCTCTTTATTCGCCTCTAACTCCAATTCGTCTTCCTCTCCCTCCTCACTGTCTCTCTTGTATGGTCCCTCTGTGCTTGTGTTTCAGTATCTCACAATCACTCTTTCTGTTTCCTCACTCTCTCGTGTGGATCTCTCTCTCTCTATGAAATGATTTCATTCTCCACCCTCTTTCTCACCCTTTGTGCATGTGTATGTGTGTGACAGTTTGGGGTTCTCGCACCTGCTATGTCACTCCCTCTCACTTCAGCGCACAACTCCACACGTTATGAGTAGAAGACAGGGTGGAGGAGGAAGAGAGGAGGGGCTGAACGCAGTATTTAAAAAAAAAAAAAAAATCTCATTCCCTCTGGGCCTTCTGTCTGCTGGAATATAAAATATGAAATATGGCTGCCTGATAAGAACCTTTAAGTGACAGTGATTATAAAAATAATACAATAGAACCATATGACAATTTTTTGTCTTTTAATCTGTTAGCTTTAGCATTTTCATGCCTGCAACCCAGCAAACTCAATTATTATTTTCACCTAAATTAATAATAGGATAGTGGAATGCATAAAGAAGGATGCATTAGGATTTTTGCATGAATTTTTGATGAATCTATTTTGCATTTGATCTCACAATACAACATTATCATAAAAAGACTGGCAGTGGTGTGATATTTGGCTCTAGACTGTGCCCACTGTGAAAGCAGTAATTGTGCCTAGATTTACTAGTAAGAACTACATTACTAATAAAAAAAATACATTAACGCCCCCTACTGGCAAGATTAATTTAGACCAACGATTCTTCCAGTTCACTGAAACGCCCAGCCACTGAAAAGTTGAGACTTTTAGAGGTCATCAGAAAGCGACAGACTTCTCATTAATTTAGGTAAACATGAATATATTCGTTATGAGCACCAAAAATAAAACAAATGCCATTCTGGAATTAATTTAATCACAAAATCCTTCAGTCTTTTGCCGTGCATTATTTGTGTCTTTAAGATCAATATAATCACAAAAAACTTATGGAAACAAGAAAATAAATGTTATTTCGCTGCGAGCAGGGTTCGAACCTGCGCGGGGAGACCCCATTGGATTTCAAATCCAACGCCTTAACCACTCGGCCATCGCAGCTTACCGCTATGCCTCAATCGCTATAAAACCTATATGTTATCGCACTTCTATCATATTTTACTGATTTTTCGCTCGCACTTTTTATTTTCTATCTGTTAATCATTATTACATTTAAGATGAATGCAAGAAGGAAAGCTTTCGCCTCAGAATTCTGCACAGACTGTTCTTTGCTTTTGGTAACAAGATCAATTTAATGTACATCGGGGTTACCAATTTAGGTTACCTGGCTGGTGTGATATTTTGACGACATGCACTGAAATCCCTATTTGAAGTTTTAAGGATCCAAGGTCTTTATATAAAAACATCTTCCCTTAAAATCTGAGTTTGCAAAAGCGCGATTTCAAAAGCAACATGTTTGCGAAATGACCGTTCAGAACGACTGAACCGGAAGTGAAATGCTAACTCGTTTCCGGGTCTTGGCCTACAAAAATACATCATCCCTACCAGCCAGTCGTATTTCTTACTGGCTAATTTATACAAAGAACATGATGCAGGAATATGCATATTTTAGTATAAAGTATTGTTATTATTATTCCAGAAGACATTTTTACAATAACTATATTTATGAGGAGCTTTTATTTTGTCAGAAACTGAACAGCGTGTAAAGTATGCAGTTTCTGCGCTAAACCTCCTCTTACCCAGTGTTGCCAACTTAGCAATTTTGTTGCTAAATTTAGCAACTTTTCAGACTACCCTAGCAAATTTTCTTCCAAAAGCACCTAGCAACAAATTTAGATATTTTTTAATTTTATTTGGCTACAAATGTGTAGTTTTACTAGTTCACTAGCTAATAAAAAAAACTTGTAATCCTTCAAAAATGTGTAAGTGTTCGTTCAATAATTCAATGTTGTATATAAAAAGTTATTTATATTTTAACATTATATTATGCATTTATATTATTTTACGAACAAATCTAAATTAACATATAAAAATATATTTTTTACTGAGATTTGATGTAGTGACACAATTTTTGCATCGTGATTACGTAATGACGTCATCACGCAATGACATCAAGTCATTTAGCAACTTTTAGCAACAAATCGACCTTCCTTTAGCAACTTCCCCTGAAAATTAGTTGGCAACAGTGCTTACAGCTGTGGTGGTGGTTACGGCATACATCTTGCACTACCCTTCCATCTGGCATCCTTTCCATACAGTAATCAGCTTCATTTTCGGAAGGTGCGATGGTGAGAATATGTGTGTAATCAATGCATCCAACCACACTGGAAATCCTAAAGGAAATTCTAATTATTAGGTTACTTAGAGGTCGCAACAAGATTTTATCAAGTGAACGCCATTTAAAAATGGTACCGTTCAAATAAATATGCATGTGGATATGGCAAAATAAATAAATTAGATCAAATTAAATCAGGATCCCTTATAAAAAGACATGCCATTTTTGTCACATTTACCGTGTCTGCATGATGAAAATGAAAGTGGTCCTGTGAGAAAAATAATCTTGTTTCCTTTTTCATTAAGATTATTTTTCTTACCCCGCTGGAAATTAATTTTACTTGATTACCTCAGGAAACAAGACTAAATATCGTATATATTTTTTCTTATATAGAAATGCATCATGATTTAAGAATTTTTAGATATTTGTACTTGAAATAAGGCAAAAATCTCAGCAATAAAATCAATTTGTGCAGCGTGAATGAATGAATGAGGTATTTTAGTCTCGCGTAGCCAGACCTTCAGACTGACGGCTGAAGGCCTGGAATCCATGGCAGCTTTCTTTGGCCAAGGCCCGCCCATGAGGTGGTTTGACCGACATGGAAAAGCGAGGATTGGCCAGCTATCCAGTGCGCTGTGATTGGCCGAATACCTCAAGCGTGTGACGGAAATGACGGAAATG